CAGCATAATGCCCTCCAAATCCAACCATGCTGTACATCAGAGACTAATACAACATTTTAAATCACCTGTACTTCAATAAAAAAGCAAACAAATAAGCAATCCATTTAAAATATGGGCAGAAGAACAAAACAAACATTTTTCCAAAAGAGGAAATGCAGATGGCCAACAGGAACATGAAATGTCACTCAACATCATTAATATAAGGGAAATGCAAATCAAAATCACAGTGGGCTATCACCTCACACCTGTCAGAATGGCCAGCATCAAAAAGAACACAAATAACAAATGTTGGCAAGGATGCAGAGAAAAGGGAATCCTTGTACACTGTTGGTGGAAATGCAAATTGGTGCAGCCACTATGGAAAACAATATGGAGGTTTCTCAAAAACCTGAAAACGAAACCACCAAATGGCCCAGCAATTTCACTTCTGGGCATATATCCAAGGAAAACAATAAAAGGTTCCATTGTAGATGCATCATTTTTTTTTAATTGAAATCAAGTCAGTTTACAATGTTGTGTCAATTTCTGGTGTACAGCATAATGCTTCAGTTATACATATACGTAGATATATCCGTTTTCATATTCTTTTTCATTATAGGTTACTACAAGATATTGAATATAGTTCCCTATACAATAGAAAATTGTTTTTTATCTATTTTACATATAATCATTAGTATCTGCAAATCTCAAACTCCCAATTTATCCCTTTCTACCCCCTTTCCCACCTGGTAACCATAAGTTTGTTTTTTATGTCTTTGAGTCTATTTCTGTTTTGTAAATAAGTTCATTTGTGTCATTTTTTAAGATTCCACATGTATGGTATTTTTCTTTGTATTTCTGGCTTACTTCACTGAGAATGACAATCTCTAGATTCATCCACGTTGCTGCAAATAGCATTATTTTATTCTTTTTTTTATCAATGAGTAGTATTCCATTGTATAAATATACCACAGTTTCTTTTTGCAGTCATCTGTCGATGGACATTTAGGTTGCTTCCATGTCTTAGTTACTGTAAACAGTGCTGCTCTGAACATTAGACTGCATGTATGTTTCTTTTTTTTATTCTTATAATATTTTATATTGAGTTATAGTCATTTTACAATGTTGTGTCAAACTGTTTATTTCTGAATTAGAGTTCCCTCCAGATACATGTCCAGGAGTGGGATTGCTGGATCATATGGTAAATCTATTTTTAGTTTTTTATGGAATCTACATACTGTTTTCCATAATGGCTCCACTAAACCACATTCCCACCAACAGTGTAGGAGGGTTCCCGTTTCTCCCCACCCTATCCAGCATTTATCATTTGTGGACCTCTTAATGATGGCCACTCTGACTGGTGTGAGTTGATTCCTCATTGTAGTTTTGGTTTGTAGTTCCCTGATAACTAGCAATATTGAGCATTTTTTTCATGTGCTTATTGGCCATTTGTATGTATTCATTGGAGAACTGCTTGTTTAGGTCTTCTGCCCATTTTTGGATTGAGTTGTTTGTTTTTTGTTATTAAGTTGTTAGATGCATTATTTTAAGAGATATACTGACAAAGCGGAGTGTTTCCACAGGAAGGTGAAGCATATGACAAAGAAAACTTGTCTCACTAAGAATGACTGAAAGAAAAGCTTGTTGTTTAAAGAAAAAATACTTAGTAAGGACACATGAGTGCTCGTTCAACCCCCTGAAGGTATAGCATACTACAGAAGGGTTAATCTGCTACTGTGTTTTCCAAAATTTAGAATTTAGACCAATGGATTGAAACTGCCTTTGTCCAACATAAGGAATGTGCTTTCTTGAGAAGCAATAAATTTCCTGTCATTTTAATTGTCCTAGCACCAGCTGGAAATTGATCATCGGTCAGGGATGTTGTTAAAATAACTTTTCCATCATGGGAAACATTAAACTAGATGGCCTGAAAGATCCTTTCCAATTCCAGGGTTCTGTGCTTCCAAGTTCAATTTCTAATACTTATTTTCATCATAAAATTACGTATAGTCCTTGGGGAAAATGTTTTGTTTATAGGAAGCATAAAATCATGCTCAAGAATGAGTAAATCTTTAAAAGTACACAAGAAAATTTGAAGTGAATTTCCTGAAGACAGGATATACTTGGATCATGGTTTCTTTTTTTGTCCTTTAAAACCACTCTGCCAATCTATCTTTTAATTGGTATACTTAGACCACTTACATTTGAAGTAATTATTGATATATTAGGACTTAAGTGTGACATTTTATTATATTTTCTATTTATTTATTATTTCTTGTTCCTGTTTCCTCTTTCTTGTCTTGAATATTCTTTAGGATTTCATTTTGATTCATCTATACTGTTTTTGATTATTTATTTATTTTTTTGATGGGGGAAGGTGATTAGGTTTATTTATTTATTCTTGGAGGAGGTACTGGGGATTGAATCCAGGACCTTATGCATGCTGCGCATGTGCTCTACCACTTGAGCTATACCCTTCTCCCTATAGTGTTCTGGAATATATGTCTTTGCATAGTTTTTTTAGTGGTGATTCTAGGTATTACAATAAGCATATTAACTTACCATAGTCTACTGGCATCACCAATTTAAACCATTTCCAGTGAGGTATACAAATCTTACTTCCATTTAGGTTTATTTAACATAAATGTCAAGTATTTCCTCTACATACATTGAACACCACATCAGATGACATTATGATTTTTGCTTCAACAATCAAAATAATTTTTGAAACTCATGAGGAAGACAGTCTATTATTTTGCTCCTACTTTGATCCATTCCAATTGTTCTTTTTTCTTCTTAAAGTGCCATCTTCCCAAGTTTCGTTTCCTTTCTGTTTAGGGAACTTTCTATAGCCATTCTTTAAGGGTAGGTCTGCTAATAAAAATTCTCTTAATTTTCTTTCATCTAAGAATGTCTTTATTTCCCTTCATTTCTGAAGGATGTATTCATAAATATAGAATTTGTGTACGTGCGTATGGGTGGTAAACTGAACCACTGATTAGTCATACTTTGTCCAGCTCTTTCAGTGTCCTTGATGCTTCAGGTTTGCTTCTTTTTCCCTTGACCATGTAAGTAGGACAATTGCCCAATCAATGTATATGAATCTGTTGGGTTTATTAAAACAGTTACACGGATGCCATAGAGATGTTCAAGCGTGATGGTGACTAGGCATTTTGAAAAGGCCTTAATATGCAGGTCAGCCCTCCTTGTGAAACTGAGATGGGGTCATGGTGACTCCACATCTTGCAGCTTTTTAAAAGTTATGACCCTAGGGAAGCATGAGCATTTTCCTACTTCATTAAGTAATCTTGAAAACATGATCAAGTTTGGGTTGGATTTGCTTTAGAATAAAGATTAGATGAAACCACGAAAGGGCTTTTTAAACACACCAGCAAGAAATGCCATGAACGAGGGCAAGGGAAAACCTAAGAGATTCTGTGCAGTATTTAGGCAAACAATGGATTAAGAGGAGTGTTTATAAAATACTATGGAGTATGAAGGAGTTCAGTACATGCCACCCCAAATTATGCCACTTTGGTGTATACTAATTATTTTGATCTGAAGGCATTTGAAAAACAGTATATGGAGGGAGAGGTTTTCTCTAAAATCCCCTTATCTGCCTAAAGATAGATCTTCTAAAATGAACTCATTTGTCATAAATTCCCTTCTTGGAAGTTCCACCAACCAGGGAAGATTGACTCTTAGAACAGGAGAGAAATTGGTACTCAACACCTCACGTAGATAAACTCCGTCTTAAATTGTTGTATCTCCCATCTATTCTTTTAAGGAGTCATTCATCTTTCTAAAAATCATTTACTCTCCCTTAAATTGCCTACATGTTCCCTCTTCTTCCCCTGTTAAAATGGTATATAAGATCTCAAATCTCACTGCCATTCTGGGTATTCTTTTTTTCCTTATGACGCCTCAGAGCAAGTAATATTAAAAATTAATAAATATGTGTACCCTTTCTCCTGATAATCTGTCTGTTGTCTGTTTTTTTCATTGACCTATAAAGTGTATATATATTGAATCTAAGAGGGTAGAGGGAAAGTCATTCCCCCCCTACAGGTAAAAGGGAAAGACAACGTGGCAATTCAGGAATAAAGAAATACATAACATCAGCAAATATACCAGAAACGAAAAAAATACCCATGTGAGTTTGGTGAAACTCCATAGTGCAGAGTTACCAGAAAAAAATGTGAATTAAAGAGAAGTACAATGGGTTGCTGTCCCGGTTTTCTGTGGAAACAGTGAGGGAAAGGGGATGGTGTGAATGGGCAGAACGTTCCGGGTGGGCCTTCTGTACAGGATCGACATCGAGGCCCAGACCCTCCCGCCTTCCACTTCCCATCTCAAGGGCATTGCACAAAAGCGGTTTCTGGAGAGCAGCGCCTTCCGATGCGCACAAGCTCTCTGGCTTTCTTCTCAGGAGTCCTGGAGGAGGCAGGGCTTACCGGCGGGGCGTGTCCCGGGGCTGAGTCGACAGCAGCAACTCTCTTGCGCCCGGCAAGAGGCGTGGCCAAGTTAGGGGCGGGGCTACGCCATAGGCCGCCACTATGGGAGCCGGCGAGAGGGCGGAGCGGTCCGCGGGCTGAGGCGGGGCAGTGGCTGTGGCTGCGGCTACAACCAGAGCCCAGCCCGGGAGGAGAGACCGAGGGCGGGGCAAGAGGGCGGCTGGCGGGCAGTTCCAGGCCCGGGGTCCACCTGCCCGG